GACCAAGAGGACTTCGCGGGCAGTTTAGTTGATTGGCCAGAAAATGAGGACCTTAAGCCAAACTGGAAGCTCCTAGATTGTGTGCGGATGCGTGGAGAACGGTACGCCAATTGGCAACCCATCAAACGCGGCCAAGTATATCACACAAGGGGTAGAATATCAGATCTACCTTCCTACCTATCCTGCTCGGTGGGTGATGCATTCCAAAGAGTGTGACCAAGCCTGTCTGGAGAGAAAAAGGAAGCCTACTTGGAAGGGAAATTAGGACAGACTGTCCTCGCACGTAACTGTGGTATGCTTAAGTAAGCGAGGCATCTGTTATGTGCGGTGCGTGCAGCCATCTATCAATCAACAACAAACAAAGACACTTCGAAAAAAAATACTCTTCGCGATAGCATCCGACAATGCTTGAGATCATGGAAATGTTGGAGAGCTCTGCCCCAGAGCAGGCTTATTCACCAGCCATTTATTCTCATCGTCAGCTCGCTGTTCATTCCAGGACGATCCCCCTGTTGCGAGCCAATCTGCTTCCTCAGTCCCCACCATGACTGTCGTTGGGTTGTGCTGTGTACTCGTCGCGTTCAACTTTCGCTTGATCACCAGCCTTTCTCGAAATCGTAGGTCTCAAAGCATGAGCAACAGGGAACCACTTTCTCTCCCCGCACCTGACCTCCTTGACCTCATTTTAATTCGGCGGAGGGGAGTGCTTCTATGGCTGGACGGATGACGAGTATCATTCAAATATAAATAGGGCCGTTACAACATGGAAAGGTAAGTCTCGAGCTTGAACGGCGCCGTTTCTGCCACCGCAAGTCTAGCCAGCATCATGAGACTCTTCGTCGTCCCAGTATTTGCCTGCGTAGCGGTACGGGTTACGGCCCTTGCTTTCCCAAGCCAGGGTTTCGGTGGTCTCACGATCACTGAACAACCGGATCCAGACATGCGACAACTCTCGCAAAACATTGGCCGATACTACCTGATAAGATGTGACGTGGATCTGGAGCTGACATTTTCCAGGCGACCTGGGATCAAACATCGCTTTTTGTCCAGATAGCATTGGAGGAGAACGGCAATGTTGGCTCAGATCAGATCAAGACACCATGCGGCATCTTGGACAACAAGCTAGCCGGCTACGACGACATGGCGATGTCTTGGAAATTGACTGGCAACCTGGGTGGCGAGGACTACCTGAACCGCAGTCGCGGACCACTGAACGAGAGATCAATGTACGCCGAACGCCAGGGCTGGCATTCAACATGGTTGCTAGTGGTACCGATACAGATGTTTATAGGTATATTGCATCATGCGGCGAGGACTGCATCCACCCCCAGGGGGTGAGCGGGTGGTGGAGGCCTAGAAAGGGATTCGAATGGTCAAAGAGACGAAGTCTAGAGGCTCTCGGATAATACCAAGGAGAATAGATTCCAGGTAGCAGAAGGGCATGCCACTCAGGGATCCCAGCGGAATTCGGATGGGCTTCGTGCTCCTGCGCATTGATAGAGCTGCCAGAAGATATGCGAAGTCGACAACAATTGTCTGCATCATGAGATCCCACAAGCGAAGTCCCCTGTTCGACGCCGCGCATCACCCCCAAGGTTGTAAGGATGCTGCTGTCGTCGTTGGTTCGTCCAATTCGCTCATATTCTGAGTGGGACATTTGAGATCGTCTCTGAGCCACCATCCAGGTCGCTCCGTGTATTCCTATTGCTGGATGAATTTGGAGCCTGGACCAATCAATCTGCATTTCCGGTCTTCAGCAACTTGAATGGTCGTTTTTCCTTGGGCAAATATGGAAAGTCATGTAGGCTCGCCAAAGAATTTGTAGCACTGGCGTGGAAAGGATCTTCACATGCGAGATGACGGGTCTCGCTACCGACAAGCCTTGCTTCGAGACGAGGGAATCAGTGTCGGTGCCTAGTAACCGGCTTTCCAGAGTCGAAATAATGTGGAGACTCCGATCGAGAGACATCGACTGGTGCAAGTATCTACCTAGTAGGGCTCAGTAGAATGACGGCTGACGTTGTCACCCTAGATGGGCATACTTTGCCCTCCAAAAGCTGTGAAAGTGATGAGCAACGAGGGATGAATCTTGACATTGGCAAAACCCAACCGCCACGGCTCGGGTGTGTCTTCCACCTGGGGGCTTGAAACCCTCCATCCCCAAAGCCACATACTTCAGACACAGAGTGGAACGCTCAAGAGGTGAGGTGGAGCTGTTTCCATGTCAGGGTGGTCGTCCTGACGTGGATCTCTGGGCTGGAGAGTATCAAAGCAGGTTCTTCGAGATGAGAAGTTGTGGCTAGGACATGCGGGAACTTTCATCACGGTCAGTCTTTTCCTCATGAATGCCTCGCAAAGCTGGTCTAACCACGATCCCATGCCCAAAAGTCTTGGAAGCATGTGAAGATATTTCCACAGCTCTCCTCTTACAATCGCACCGTGCTCGCAAAACTCCGCAAAGGCGTATTCCGGAAGCTCCACTCTGTCAATGGAGGGTAGAGCTGTTTAGCGGCGCTGGCGAACAGGGTATGTGCATGGGCTTTTCGATCCCCTGCAATTCATTTCCACCCTTTGTATAGACCGACATCACCCTTTCCCTTCTCTTTTCCTGCATCCACTTATGGACGATCTTCTGTAGAGCACCCGAGGAGGGTTCTAGCAGAATTGAGCACCAATCATTGTTCCTAAGCCCGGTGGGAAAGGATCAGCGGGCACCAAGGACCCATCAAAGCCGGATCGAGGACTTGCCGGTATTATGATTTCTCTCTCTTGCTTAAGATGATCGGGGACCATCGTTCCGCGGCCTGCTTTCTCCGCATTACGCAATTCTGTAGGAGCTCGACATGGGCCAAAACCTCGTATGCCGGCATTGTGCCTTTTGGAACTCTTGTGGACAGAAATTTCACATGTGAAGGACTCAGCTCGTAGCGCTGAGACGAAGTGTAACACACAGCGTCTCAGCATAGGACGGCCCCGAGAGAGGGTAGGTGTCGTCGCTGCTATTGGGTGGCTTGTGCTTGTCTGCTTCTTCAAGAGCTAGGCTTGCTCACGGAGCGTCCAGAGGAGGCAGGCTTTGAGATGGAGACGGCAGGACAAGTACGGAACGAATAGGTTGATCCAAGCCCCAGTTCGGTTGTCGAAAGTACCTCGTACAGTTTTGTGTAAGACGAGCAGTGGCAGGGGGACCTAATAAAAGTGGAAGAAAGCGTCCCGTGGATTCTTTACGTACTGAACGGATAGCAGCTTTTCCACATCCAACGAGGCTGCATGCATTGGCCTCGCTGGTCATCCATACTTGGCATAGTGAAGACACTTCGGGATGCGGGGAGCCCTGGATCAGCATGGCCGTTTCCCTAAAGAACTTACTGGGGGGAAGGACACAGCCGAATTACCGATGCGATTGGCGGGCCTCCAGGGAAGCTTGAAAGGCTCACTAGGCCCTGGAACCCCCCGGGCTCCGGGGCTCGGCATCCCTAGCTTACCCCCCAGTAACCTCCCAGTAGCCCTTGGTAGCCTCCACTAGTCTTCCAGTAGCTCGCCGGTAAGACCACCAGAAGCCTAGGGAACCCCTCCAGCTAGTGGGTCTATCCGACGACTGACGAAAACTCATTCTCAACCCTTCTCTCCTTTGTATGGCAGGCTGCGATTGAAGGTCATCCACATCAGTTTGCAAAACTTCCATCACCATCTGCATCTCATGAAGACGTACGACCGCAACGATCTTCATTCGCTGGCCTGACTATCACCCCCCAAAATGACGCTTTGAGAGCAACATCTCGCGCCCATCTAGTTGGACTACACATTGCAGTATCCCACCCATTCGGTGCCGTCCCGGGTCTACTTCAGGTGAGGGGAAAGTGTACGTATTCAGTCCACCTTGACTAAAACTATGCAGTAGTGGAACAGCACGCAGTCTTCAGTCATTTTTCCCATGGCCTCAACGGTTAGCGATGGCGCAACCTAGACTGCGCCCCGAATGAGCCATGTCCATTTCGCATTGCCTGTTCGGGTGTGGAACAAACAGACGTGGTCGTGGGATTGGTCTCCTCAGACCACTGCCGTCAGGATGAATACGAGTACAACGGTTCAATTCTATTCCCATGGCAACAAAACGCATATGTTCTATCCTGTTCCCATTAGATTCATGGCAGAAGGACCTGACGTGACTGTGGAGAAACTCGAGATTAGAAGAGTTCGCTGGATGTCGTCGGCTAAGCGAATATGTCCGAATCTAGGATAACTCCAGGATGCGGCCAACATGATGCTTTCAGCTTCTTTACGTATCTCATTCCACCTCGCCGTGCGAATACCCATCAAAGAGCTTGCAAAGAGGATGACGATGTTTCAATCCCTACGCTACCCTTGACCGGCCTGTCCGAAACGGGGGGTGGCTTGCATATTGGCGGAAAAAGAGAGCTGTGCGAAGGTTGTGGTCTGTGGGGACACATCACACGTTGGTATTATCAGTATCATCATCCCAGAAAGGTGAACGAGGACCAAGAGCCATCGTCGATAGCTTTTCGCAATTACGTGTTAGGTGGGCCGATAATGCAGCCTTTGCAGAAGAGCTGAAGACGATCTCATGGATGTGGTGACACTTGCTCCTGGCGGCAGACCCGACATGCTCCGCCATCTCTTTTCGACCGGGTCGAGAGAGAGCATTGCCCAGCAGCTAATGCTGAGGATATGTCCAAATACGTCCAATGACACACGGCACAAGTGAAAACCTTCCAGGACCGAATGTGGCTCTCTCGCTTTTTGGAGTATATAGCTCTGCGCAAGGATGGCCGCGTTCCCCGCCTCTCAGTTTTCATCGTCAGGATAGGAGCCGGCTCAGTGACATCTTTTGGCTTCCTTAGGAGGGACTGTCAAGATGCTTGGTCTATTGCGGCAACCGTTTGGTATAAAGTTCCCCTCCCCAGCCGGAAAGCTGTTTTCTAACTGGATTCTTCCATACAGGACAGGACTCTTCGGCTCTCAAGGCCGACAAACACTCTATCATGGCTCCTTCTGCCACTTCTTCTTTTCGACACGTCAGTACCTCGTCGACCAAAGGCTTCGAGTACACATCCACCTCTTCCATATCCAACGGTATCAACGGAACCAATGGCGTCAATGGAGGCTCATACTCGGCACTTGCCCCTCCAGATATCCCGGACAGCACAGTCCAGTCCGCTACGCCAATGCCGTCTGTCTTTACACAGCGACCACGCGCTGGGACTGATCGTACGTCCTCCTTCGGCGGCTTAGAGCAAGTCAAGGAGCAGCTGGCCACGTCCCGTAACCATGCCTACCGTGTCCTTGGCTCTAACTTCGGCGGCTATGCGTTTGACACTTCCATTACTGGACTTCTTGAATGGATTCGAGATGAAAGACTCATCAGACTCCCTCACAGAGGTGGTTCTTGGGATCGTGTCCTGATCGCCGCACAACACTTCGCAGAACAAGTCCACAGGTTTAACGTTGCCATTTCAACCTTTGAGTCTGACATCAACGCAGCTACAAATTTGGTCTTTGGGCAGTGTTTGCTATTGCTGGAGGTACGCTGTCCTCTATTTTTATGCCTCTTCCTATTCTTCATTTACTTAGCCCATTGCTTCCACTCAAACTCACTGTCTCACTTCTTTTACTGCTTTGAATGCAAGCCCTTGACACCTTTGCAGAAGCACAAGTCCTTCTATATCACTGTTATTGCTTCTCCCCCGCCATAGAAGCTCGATTGCGCTGACCCTTCTTTTAGCTTGGAAGCGACAATGCTCCAGCATTGGAGACAGTTTTCAACCTCTTCTACCAGTTCGGTCTCGAATTGTCGCCACTGTTGAAGCGCGTCGACATCATTACTACATCTCGACTCATTTCCGACAACCTCTCCAAAGCCTTTTCGGAGCTCCTGTCTATCGTGACTGGAGTCGCGATTACGTTCTGGCAGATCGTCCATGGGAACAACTCGTCGACCAATCTCGACATCTTCTCCACATTTAGCACGTCTATCGAGAGTTTCCGCTCTCGAGTCTCGCAGTGTTCTCAAGATATGTGGAACTTCAGCTTGACGGCCAGTGGCTTGAAAGAGACTCATGTCCTGGAAGCCTTACAGGCGTGGCTGGCTCCGCAAGACACTGTTTTGGCATTCTTGGCTAGCAACAACATCAACATTGCCAGCCGACCAGAGCAATTTACCTGCACATGGTTCCAATCCCACTTGACAAACTTCATGCGCAATGGGGAAAGCTCGCTCATTGTCGAAGGCAAGACTGGCACAGGCAAGACGACGCTGGCCAATTGGACTGTCGATCGACTCCAACGACCTATTGGCCGCAAGCTGGTCTTCCCTCTGAGCTTTTTCTTCAACAGCAACATCCCTGCTCAGGCAAACTCTTTCGCACTGCTGAAGACACTCTTGTGGCAGATTCTATCTCAGCGGATTGGAGATATCCACTTGTACAAAGCCTTGGCTGAAGCATATCACGAATTCAAGGACTCCAACGCTTTGCATAGGAATGAGGAAATCTTGTGGTCCGTCCTTGAAAAGGTGCTGTCAGCTATTGATGAGGACGAGACAAATACTCTGGTCCTTGTCGTTGACGGCCTTGACGAGATCTCTGGACAAAGATCCCACGCTCATGCTGTTGCCAACAAGCTCCATGACCTAGCCGTCAAGATACCTGGCTTGCGATTGATACGCTTCTCCCAACCCTTGGAGGCGACCCATTCGAAATCCGAATACGTCAAACTCTCGACAGAAACTCTGATTGATGACATCCGTACCATTGTGCGTCGAGAACTCGGCGACAACAGGTCGTTTGCCGCCATTGAAGATGGCGCCCAAGAATCTGCCATCGACAAACTTGCAGCCGCCGCTGATGGTTCTATCCTGTGGGCGTGGCTTGCCACCCAATACATAGGACATCAAAAAGTCCATTCTACATTCGATGAAGCTCTGCAAACCCTCGTCTCTGGTCCAAAGACTGTGCCAAATCTAGTGGAGAGACTGATGTCGGTGCTTCGCATCGATGCACGAGCGAAAAACTTGCTTTCCGTTACCCTGGCTGCTGAGAGGCCCTTACTGCTTTCGGAACTCGAGCTGTTACTCCAGGCACAGCCAACCCGTCTTGCAATGGATGAAAAAATCGTCGAATTGCGCGACCTGACCGCATCTGTGGCCCCGTTCCTTGTTAGGGGCGAAGGCATGTTAGCCATCAGACATGTGGCCATCAAAACAGCCTTGATTGCAGCCGCCGAGAAGTCGAAAGAGTACTTCCTGTTCCAAGATCGACACAGAGATATGCTCACCCGTATTCTGATACATGCGAAGACTTCTCTCCGAGAGGATCAAGAGCCTACGCTGGATTATCTAGACTTCGGCAGGATCCATCGTCCCTCTCACTCTCGCCAGCTGCTTGAGTATACTGTGAGATACTGGATTGTTCATTTCAAGCAATCCTCATTGATAAAGCGCGGGGGAGATCTCGATATCCCCAAAGAGTTGGCGAGCATCTTCCCGTCGACTGTGACGTTGGCACTCCTTGAGGAGGCTTGTTGGCGTGCGCAGACATCGCCCAATGAGGCGGCAGAGCTTCATGCCCTCGCCTATCGTGTTCGCACGAACTTATTCGGCCAGGACCACGCCTGCGTCCTACAGGCAGCAATCGTCGTTGCAAAGATATACGAGACAACCTTGTTTCGACTCCACGATGCAGCGTCTTGGTACATGACTTCAATCAAGGTTGCTGCAAAGATATTGGGTTCGCATCACGATCTCGTTGTCCAACTCTGTCTCTGCCTGTTGCGGGTGACAGAGGGCTTGGTCACGAGAAGCAGAAGCCAGATCACGACTTATCGAGAGGAAACCCTGCGAATCCTCGTCTCCGCCTATACCTACCGCTACGGCGCGAGCTCGAGGGAAGTGTCGGCGTGTTACAGACAATTGAGCGAGCTTTACGTCTTTATCGGCGAAACCGAAAAGACCGAGGAGTTCAAGCAGAAGACCAGTTCGTCCGCCGTGGATGATCAAACCGTCCAGGAGAACGGTGACAAGGTATCTCGCAGTCTGGATGTCACCCTCCGCAAACGCAAGGAAAAGGAACACATTGATACTTTTGAGGGATCCGTAAGTCAGAGCCTTCCCAGCAGCACTGATCTCACCTCGCTGCCCTCATTTCTATCCTCCCATCCGTACTCGGCCTTGAGCTAACTGCCATTCACAGCTGTTTGCTGGTTACCAAGAAGAAACCGCAGAGTCCCTCACCTTAGCGCTGGTTGAAGGCGTATTTACTCGTGCCGCGGAGTTTATCAAACGCGAGGACTATGAAAAGGCCGAAGAACTGTACATTGAGCTCTGGTGGAAACTGACCGAGCATTGTGCCAGTGTCAGGACCTTGGAGTGGCACCAGAAGAAGCTAGAGTTGATGCTGGCGTATGCTCGCTTCTTGCACTCTCGCAACCGCGTTGATGAAGCTTCTTCTGTCCTTCTATTTGCTTGGAAGGAGTTTGAGCACAGCGAATTTTCAATGTACGAGTCCATCGTGCGACTTTTGAAAGAGATCGCCGTCGTCATGAAGACCGTCAGGCTCAACACGGTAGCTCTGTCGGTTTATCAGAAATGTTTCGCGTACTACAGAAACGTCAGCGAAACCACCTTCATCTCCGAGATCGAAGAGCAAATCACTGCCACGTCTATGGAGATAATCAAATCTTCAACCACGACTGTCAGTGAATCTACCGAGGTTACCATACGTGAGGTAAGTCATGTTGCAATTGCCTGAGAGCGCGGCACAAACCCGTTGCCACTTACAAATGGGTGCTAACTGCAAGGTTGAAGGTCTTTGAACATACCATCACAACTACCTCTGAGGTTACCCATTCCACCTTCGAACTTTCCAAGTCACTGACGGCGATCTACATTGAGCAAAGTCGGTATGCGCAAGCTATAACAGTTCTCGAGAGCACAATGAAGAAAGGTTGGGCTGGATTGTTCAACGATGCACTCGAGAGCATTACTCTGCCTTCCAAATTCTCCACCGAGAGCGTTATGCTCGCTGTGCGCCTTGCAGAATGCTACGAACAACACCAGGTCCTGGACCAGAGTGAGCAGATTTACCTGAGACTCTACCGTGCTCATCACAAGTCTCACAGCATCGACAACCCTGCTGTGGCTAAATACTCTGACATGTATGTGTCGTTCCTGAGACGCCACGGCCTTCACGACCGCATCATCAGCTTCTATCAGGAATTGCTGATTGACTACCGCAACTTCTATGGCAAGAACGACAAGAAGACTATCAACCTGCTCTATATTCTTGCAGACACTTGTCGGACCCACCATATTGTTCATAGGTATTGGGTGGAGTATTACCTGGAAATTGTCAACGCCGTCAACAAAGGTGACTTGATCAGCCAGAGAGATGCTCTGCGTGCTCTCATTATTGTCGCCGAGCATTTCTATGAAAGTCGGCGATTCACGGAAGCGTTGATCCATTTCAAGTCAATTGCGGCGACATTCATCAAGTTTGGCACTCAATATGAACAGTTCGCTGATGCGGTAGTCGTCCAACGCCTGCTCGAGAAGTATTACACTTCTATGGAAGAGACCAAGCTGGATGTCGACCAACACGTCAAGATCTTGAGAGAGATTCGCGAAGCTTGCTTCAAGTATTATGGAGAAAAATCCGTCATCTCCGTTGTCACAACCAGCGCACTAGCTGAGGCGTGCTCAAAGAGTCAAGAGTATTGGTGAGTCGTCCACTTTTACAAGAGCATGGCTTGAATGTCATCGTTTTTGGTTATTGTACGCTGACAGCTGTCCACAGGTTTGAATCCATCCGCTACTTCGAGATCGTGTCGCAGCATTCAGGCATGGTGTCCGTCCAGACCATCGAGCGATCCAAGAGTATGATCAAGGAGCTTTACATCAAGCAGATCACTTCAACAAAGTCCACGACATTGAGCAAAGAGACGGTTGAGAAGGCTGAGTCGCTGTTGTTTGAAAAATACATATCAAGTCGCCGAGCGCATGAATACACGCAGACGAAGACACTCAAGCAACTTCAGCAACTGATTGCCATCTACCACAAGCAACAGAAGACCGATCATATCATCAAGGAACTCCGGTCCCTGATTTTGGATATCGTCCTGAATGTACGCACAACGGAAGAGCTGGTTTACGTGGCTGATTTCCTCGCCACCATCTTCATCAGCTACGACCTCCGCCGCTATGCCTTGGAGATTGTACGGGATCTCAAACTCCAGGCCATCTACAAATCTGCTCCAAAGACCTCAGCATTCTACGGTGCGACAATCGGGCGAGCTTGCTTCGCTTTCATTGCCGCTTTTGAGTACCACGTTCGCAGTGATCATACCCTAAGCATTGCTCACAACATTGCTGAGCTGGTGGCCGTAAGTACCCCCCCAACTTTGAGACCCGAACAATTTCATTGCCATCTGCTCCCTACAATACATGTCTCATGACATTGACTGAACTCAATTAGGAACACTTGTTCTACGAACGGTTTGTCAGGTCCATCAAGGCCAAGGCGAAGCTGCAAGCGGTCTTTGTCCATGCGGCCCGTCTGCGCCATATTCTCGTCCGAAACAAGCGCTTCGAAGACTTTGCCATTATTGAGACGCAGCTGATTGATTTCTTCGCTGCCACCGAAGTCTCGGTGTCCAAGGCGGTGTCGCGCACAGCTCTGAAAGCATTTGTCAATGTCATCACCAAATATGCCGCCGAGCATCCAAACGTCCACTTTAAGAGTTTTGTTGTTGCCGCCAGCTACGCCGCAGTCGACCAGCTTCGTCTATTGTTGAAGCAGAACAAAGATCAGGAGGCCCTTGACCTTGCGACCTGCACGTTCAAGTTCCTCATGGCGCATGAAGGTCTTGATGACCCCACCGAGATCCGCCTTGGGTTCCAGCTATGCCTGATGACGGCCGGAAGAGGCGAGTTTGCGTACAAGAGCAGCAGTCCCAAGGTCCAGAGTGAGATGCTTGCGCTCTCCCAACAGATTCTGGCTGAGGTCTTCGATATCTGTAAGAACAACAACATCAACATCGCTCGAGCACAGCTCTCAGAACTCAACGAACTCATCAGTTTGATCGGCGAGCACAAGGACTATTCCCGTCTCTCTTGGCTGCTCAATACACTCTGGACGTCACGCGAGGGTCAGAGTTCCTGGCCACAGGATACCATTCTGGATCTGGGCTTCCGCCTTGTCCAAGCGGAGTTCAGTGCCGGCAACTACAAACCTGCCTTGCGCTTGTGCGAAGACATTGTCTACAACATCAAACGCGTGCACGGCTCGAGAAACCCACGTTTGTACTCGTGCTGGAATCTGCTGGCGGAACTCTACACCGGGTATGCGAACCATCTCCTGGCTGAGGCCGGCAAGCAGGATCCTGCAACCAAGAAGGCGACTGAGCAGAGCGCCCTTCTTTACCTGCGTAAAGCGGCAGATGTCCATCTTACGGCCCTCAAGCAATTGGTTGATGCCGATGCGGCCGATATTGGCGACGACGATGATTACGAGCTGGATGTCGACATCAGCTTGAAGAAGTCGGCCACAACGAACGGCACGAGCTCTCAGGGCCAAGTCAACGGAGACCACAAGCACGTGCGCTCGTTCCAGAACCGGGAAGAGGAGCTCGAAATCGTGCGTCGACACCTGAGATTGCTCAAGCTCGCGCTCCAGCGGGCGGGTGGCTTCTTCAAGTCGGCCAAGGAGTATGAGGCGTTGACCCACAAGATCAGCGCCCACTACGGTGAAGATCTCAAGCTCAAGGACGTCGAGTGGAGTGCCGCGAAGTGGAAGGTTGACGGGCTGGGGTTGGGCCAGGCGGAGGCGCAGAAGCAGGACGGTGTGTTCCGTGTGCCTGCACACTGGGAGATTCATGTGGCGTAAGAGTGAGGGAAGAGGGAAGAAGCATTTGGGTATCGGAGCGGCGGTGCAAGTCCAGAATGCGAGGAACGGACGATGGTGATACAGAATGATAACAACCGGAAACCATGGCACATTTGAACTAGGCAGAGAAAAATGCTTGTTTGTTGTTAGTCGACGTTTGATATTTTGTTGAAATGCATGCATCACATGTCTTGTACCGAGTATTGTTCCTCCTCGCCTCGCCGTTCGAACACACTCGTTACACACTCTGTATTGTTCTGTCACTCTATCATTCCATCTCTCTGCTCCACAGTGTGAGTGTGTGTGCGTGCATGTTTTTCGTTTATCTTTTCTTTTTAGTCCCCCCTTTTTTAAGCGAGCGAGCCCTTGCACCTCAGCAAAGGGGCCGATCTACCCGTTTGAACTTTGGACTTGTACTTATGCATGTACCTGTACCCGTTTGTACGTATGTATGCGTGTGAGATGTGGACATTTACCTGTACAAAAACGTAACGTTACCCCCCCTCCAGGTGGTCATCTACCTAGTAGTCAGTCCGCGTCGGCTTCGGACAATGCTGACAAAAAAACAAAAACTCCGCTCCGCCCGCTCTCTCCGTTCCGTCGAGAGAAAAAAAAAAAAGGCAAAAGGGGCTATTTTCATCCTCGAACGGACCGCAATGCAAGATTTGAAATGAGAGAGGAGGTCGATGGGTAGTAGGTACGAGGTATATTTTATCTAGCCTTTTTGACGCCGCGTTGGTGGTTTTACTACTAACGGGTACTAACGAGTATGTGTATGCGGGTGGGTTGGTGGGTGAGAGGGTGGTGTGGTGTGGTGTGGGATGGTGTAGACTTATCGCGAGGCTGGGGGGATGCGCATAGACATGCACAAGGCAGAGGAGCAAAGTGGTCATCAAGTCAAGAGCAGAGAGCCCTTGTATGTACGAAGTGCACCAATAAGACTGGGAGGGAATGACCGCGCAATAGCCAAGGTTCCTACATACATACATGCACACATACCATACCTTGGCCCCATGTCCATACTTGTACATACATGCATACCTGCGGGATGAGTGCTCATGCTCATTATTGTCATGTCATGTCGTGTCATGCCATGCTCATACTCATGCTCGTGTTCACGACAAGTACAAGTACCTCGTAGAACCCCGACGTAGCACTAAGGCAGCCAGCCGCACAAAGTCATCGGTCGATTTCGCTCATGGCTTCTCTGTAAGCGTGGGATGATGATATGCATGTCGTCCAAGAAACTCCTCACGAGACAAGGCTTGTCGCCAATCCAACAAAGCAGGTTGAACCCAAAAGCTAGATAAAAGCTTCCCCTTTGGCTTGCTCGGCATGATAAGGGGAAGAAAAAAAGGACCAGCAGACAACAGAACCAGAAGGATCCCCAACTTTCGACAAGCAAATCTCCAGATTTCAGTTCCGAGGTGGAAAGAGACAGCGTCATATGCTTTTCTGTCGAAGCCCACGAGGTGAATTGTGTTGATAATAGAGTTTCACTGATTCACACCTTCAATGACAGCAGACAACCAGCCATGGTTGATGGTTGGTGATGGCCAGCCACCAGCCACTTGTCAGGCGACAGGCGACAAAACACCAAAAACACCAAACGAGACCATCGCTGCCGACCGTCAAATCGAGCCATCAGCCTTCAGCCACCGTCCATTGGCCCGGCTCTCCCTTCTCCTCTCGGGCTTCACAAGTGGGATCCATTCCACCGCCCGTGCTTGGCTGATGCTTCCGCCCAGAACAACCAAGACCTCGGCGCACGTTGCGGATTCGCCGTTGGAGGGGGAGCCAAGGAAACTTGTCATGTCTTGGTCGATCTTTCTCCTATCGATTCTCCGCTCCCGCTGCTCCAAAGCGGTGCCTCCTCCGTGATCTGTGGTATCGCCTCCGCGCCGAGGCGTAGTATCTCTTGGTCGTAACCTCTTGGCTTCCTGGCAAGTCTTCGATTGACTTCCTCTATCAGCAGTAGTGACGTGACCCTTGTTGATCGGGCCAAGCCGCCATGCAGATTGAATACAATCCCACCTGTGTGATTTGTGAGACGGCCTCGAACACACGAGGAAGGATGGAGGGATGGCAAAACCAAGAGATAGCGAGATACTGCATCCTTTGACAACCGATGATACCCCCCTCCCTCCATCAAAACTCACGGACGGGGGAGATGGGGCGGTGGGAATAAAAAAGCGCGAACAGGTCCCTGGTCCTTCTTGCTCTTGCTTCCTCTTCTTGCTCGATTGCATGCGATCTTCAGAGCTTTGTTCAACTGAGCTCTCTCGAGTACATTCCCCCAAGTTCGATAGTAGTGAATCAGCTTCCCCATCGCGTTTTATCTTTCCCCTCAAGCTCTCTTCGTGTCGACCCCATCTCGCCGACTGCCCCCTGGGGTAAGAATGAGCTCAGACGCGCCCAAAGAATACTCCGTGGCGCAGGAGTCGCCCACGGACTCCGAGAAAGGCGCTTCCTTCTCCAGACAAGCCTCAGGAGATGCCTTCGACGCTGAGAGCCTCCGGGAAAAGGACTTCCTTACCCGCAATGGCCTCAACATCGACAGTTTCCGGAGACGTAAGAAGCCTCTGTCTCTCTTGTATATGTTGAGTTCGAACATGGCATTGACAATCTGCTGCAGGCGAACGGGGTGAGGGTGTCGAGGAGCTTGACCGCTCCATGAAGTCGCGTCACCTGAACATGATCGCCATCGGAGGCTCAATTGGTGCTGGTTTCTTCGTGGGCTCTGGAGGAGCCTTGACTCGAGGCGGTCCAGCTTCGGTCCTCATCTGTTTCCTCATCACCGGAGTCATGATCTTCAATGTCGTCTATGCCCTGGGAGAACTGGCCGTCATGTATCCTATCAGCGGAGGCTTCTACACATACTCGGTTCGCTTTGTATGTCCACGTTCCCAGGCCAGTCCACAATCCTTGAATCCACATTGCTGACAATGAGAAAGATTGACCCTTCATGGGGCTTCGCAATGGGCTGGAATTACGTACGTGGTTCATCCCGACCATGGGCGATACTGGTCCGCTGACACAGGGCAGGTCTTTCAATGGGTTATCGTCCTCCCGCTCGAATTGACAGTTTGCTCCTTCACCGTCCAGTATTGGAACAAAGACATTAGTGTAGCAGTCTGGATCACCATATTCTGGGTCTTCATCATCTTTGTCAACATCTTCGGGACCCTGGGCTACGCTGAGGAGGAATTCTGGGCGTCTCTCTTCAAACTCCTGGCGACTGTCATCTTCATGGTTGTTGCTCTCATCCTCATCTGCGGTGGCGGCCCTTCCAACGGTATATATCACGAGTACTGGGGTGCCCGGCTGTGGTATGACCCTGGTGCATTCCAAAATGGTTTCCGTGGCTTTTGCTCCGTCTTTGTCACGGCGGCCTTTGCATTTGCTGGCACCGAACTCGTGGGTCTTGCTGCCGCCGAGTCCAGGAACCCTGGCAAATCCCTTCCGAGCGCCATCAAACAGGTCTTCTGGCGTATTACTTTGTGAGACGAGAGAGACTCTCCCCTCAGGGTCTTACCCAGCTAACGTGGTTGAAAGGTTCTACATTCTCGGACTCACCTTTGTCGGACTCCTCGTCAGCTCTACCGACGACCGTCTCCTCAACGCGTCAAACCCGTACGCCGACGGCACATCGCCTTTCGTGCTTGGTCCGCTCGATGCTGGTCTCATCGGCTATGACAGTTTCATGAACGTCGTTATTCTCGTCTCGGTCGTGTCGATCGGTGTTTCCAGCGTCTATGGCGGTTCGCGCACCTTAACTGCCCTCGCTCAACAGGGCTATGCGCCAAAGATCTTCGCCTACATCGATCGATCGGGCCGGCCACTGTTCTCCGTGGCGCTCAACTTGGCGTTTGGCGGGTTGGCTTACATCGTGCTCGCGTCATCCGGCAGCATTGTCTTTGACTGGTTGCTTGCGCTGTCTGGGCTTGCTGCTCTCTTCACTTGGGGTTCTATCTGCGTGGTAAGTCTCACGGACACCAATCGTCTCATACTCTCTGCAGTCCTCTTCCTTTTCTGACACTTTCGGGGTTAGGCACACATCCGTTTCCGAGCAGCGTGGAAGCACGCCGGACGTTCGCTGGATGAGATTCCCTTCAAGGCGATTGGCGGTGTGTGGGGTTCATGGCTGGGTATATTCCTCATCTTCATCGCGCTGGCAGCGCAGTTCTTCGTTGCCATCGCTCCTCCTTTCACTACCGATCTGGCCAGCGCCGAGGACTTCTTCAAGGCCTACCTGGCTCTGCCAGTGGTGCTTTTCTTCTGGGTCTGTGGCTACCTCTGGAAACGTCAAGGGTTCCTTCGTTTGGATCAGATCGATCTGGATACAGGCCGTCGCGAGCACGATTGGGAGACTATCAACGCGTATAGGGCCAAGGTCGCGACTTGGCCATGGTGGAGAAAGGCAATGAGTGCCATTTTCTAGATTGGCGGATGTAATAAGTGGCGAGTATCTAGGGGCAAGGTACAATCGGTGTCTATTTGAGATGTAGGACAATATGAAGAGACGCGGTCTTGGAGGCTCGTCAAAGGGCGGAGGCACCAGGACGACTCGCTTGGCGAGTATTCTGTGACAAAAGAAAATGCCGACTCCAATTGATATGATAGTACTGTATGCACGCGCAAGGCTACCTTGATGATGGTGAATCTGTGACTCTGTACGAGGTAGATAAGAGTGCTGGTTTGGAACGCATCTTGACCGCGGGCCGACGATCCTCTACTCCGTAAGCCGCCTAGGGTGGCTCTACCACTTGTGCGGGAGGGAGCTCAGGCTCAGCTAGCTGCGGACGCTCGGCATAGTTTCTGGTCTGAAAAATGGAGCTTCCAATTGCCTACAACCGCTTCAACCAGGAATGATCTTTCCACAGCCTTAGAAAACAAGGTCGGCGCCCAAAAGCCTTCAATACGAATGAGCTTGAAGTCTACAATGCTTCGAGAGAGCATTTCGGGGCTGGCAAGATTGGGAGTCCACGAGACTGCAGTGC